ACGAGATCGGCCGACACACGCACCTGCACGGTAGGTTGGCGGTTGCCTTCTTCCTCCTGGTTCAGCTTGGTGTGATCGTCCTCCTTGATGCGCGACTCGTGAGCTCCCATCCTTTGGCCGACGTTGAACTGACTAACTTGGAACCAACGCAAATCCGACCAACCTCTCGACTCCACGCATCCGTTTAGGTGCGGCGAACTCATCTGGATACTCATTAAAATCTCCACGATGGGGAGAATTAAGGCGGCAACGATCCGCGGCAGGTCCGTGGACCTGGTGGGGGCTAAGAAGCTGGCCATCTCGTTTGGGCATGCAGGGTGGTGCCACGTTGTGTTTTCATGGGTGCTGCAAGGTGGATCGAGCGACAGGACGAAGTCCTTGTCGACGACAACACAGGGTTGCAAGGCCGTACAAGTAATTACAGCGCAATTCGTCTAAGATGGACTGAATGCTACAACACCCCAGGGATGATCAAATGCGGCACGCGTTCGCAGTACTTGGCCCAGTCTTGTCCGTATTTCGCACGGCATCGGGCATCGTCACGGAACGCACGGTCTGTCAAAAGGATGCACAGGTAAAACACGTAAAAGTACGGCACGAACGAGCTGTTCCACGCGGGCAACGTCCAGCAGAGCGACGCGAGAATTTCAGGGATGTAATGGAAGTGGCGCGAGAGGCCCCACCACCCGCAGGTCAGCAGAAGGCTCTCCTTCTTTTCGTTCTTCTCTGTCGTGTACTTGGCCACGATGAACGTCGGCTTCTTGCCCCACACCAATGCCTGACCATTCGTCGCACGAAACTCCTGGCGCTGTGCGTCCACCGAGTAGTTGATCCACACTACAACATGTCCTCGTTTGACCATGCTCTGCTTGATCGCATGACAACGTACCCATCAGGCAGCCGGTAAGGAAGATGGACGAGGCAAGTGGCGTGCCCAACGTGATGGGGGTTTGGACCAAGTACATTGCTTGAGACGTGTACACCGACGGCACCCAGACGAGGCAACCCCAGCACAGGTAGTACCCAGCGCGGTCGTGCATGATGTCAATCGACCGCATGTACCCCGCTTCCCACCAAAAAAACTTGGCCACGTAGACGAGCTGCAGGGCAACACTCGTGGCCATCGAGTCGCTCACGTAGCCGTATAATTCGTACTGCTTCCACGCGTACGACACAATACCCACGCCCCAGAACATCATGCCGCAACGGCAGTTTGTAAACAGCTTCACATCCCAGCCTAGTCGTGTTTGTCTTGATGAGATTCGCTGGAACATTGATAGAATCACATCCAAACCATACCAAAGATGCGAGGGTACAGCTCAATGCCACTGAAGAAATCAAAGAGAGGGTTGCCCGTGACGCCGTAGTCGGACGATGTGGGGAAGGTCAAACCCTTGACGTAAATGACCAAGCACAGTGCGAAACTGAACACGTTCAGGGCCGAAATGATGTGGAGCATGTGAGTGTACGCGAACCCGCCCTCCCAGAGCCCAGCGTACGCGCCACCAACAAACAAGGCGAGTGTGATCAAGTAGCATCGAAACCCGTTGTCCGCGTATTCGGGGACGTTGCCACCAGGAGTAACGGGGCCGTACACCGTCGGCGCCGGCACAAGCTTGATCAAGATGAGTTGGATCGCCATGAAGGTAAGGATGATTTGCCACGCCACAGGGTCAAAGGGACTTTGCCAGATCGCTTGCAGCGTCGGGAGCACACCGAGCGTGACAAACTTTTCCGCCAACGGCTTCCATTGCCCGCCTTCAGCCACGAAGATGTGGGTGAAGAGAATCGCTGCGACGGGCGTCGACGCCATGAGGAACAGCGGGCCGAACGTGGCGCGGCCAGGCAGGAGGCCCTTCGAGTCCTTCGTCGTCGCTTTGTTGGACCACATCCTCTCAAATACGGAACTGCACTCGTTTGATTTTTCCCTCGTTTGGCTCGAATGTAATCACAGTGTTTATCCTCCGGATAAAGTTTTTATCTGGAAATCACCCACGAATTAGAATCCTGCGGCGCCGTGCTGAACGTGGGAGCGGTACCGATGCTCCTGCCGATGGGGCTCTTAAAGGTGAAATGGAAAGTGAATGAATTAAGTCTGGTTATCAAGCTATGTTCTAGTGAATTCCAGACTATCTGGTCCGTGCATGGTCGCGGTTGACGAAACGTGAGAAATGTAAGAGAAAGTGCAGAATAGAAATGACGAAAGGGAGCGGATGATTCTGATTGGCTACTGAAATATTTCGCCATAGAATTGCATCTCAACAGGGGCTTGCGCTGGCAGTGCTGTACGTGGGAGCGGTACCGATGCTACTGATGATGGGGCTTGCGCTGGCAGCCCTGGACCCAAGGAGTCTGTATTTGGGATCTAAAACGCCATATGTATCGCAGGAGCTGCCGTCGGATATGCTGCTACTGCCGCCATCGTGCAGTCCCATGCACATCAATATGGTGATTCGCCATGGCACGAGATTTCCCACTACAAAGGTGATTCAGTCCATTGCGGCTGTGACTGCCAAGTTGAAATCCGCTGCACTTACATCGTCGATTCCATCATGGGTCGAGTCGTGGGCAATCGAATCGTACTATCCCATCGAAGAAAGTGGAATGTTGGCGGACGCAGGAGTCGATGAGATGGTCGGTCTGGGTCAACGCATTCGCCTCAAGTATGCACATTCGTTTCCAACTGCGTTTGACAAGACGAGCTACACCTTTGAGCACACTTGGAAAGATCGCACGCGAGAAAGCGCAGCTTCGTATACAAGCACCATGTCTTTCCATCGTGTCGCTTCACGTGACTGGTGTAGGTTTGCGTTTGGGTTCTTCGGCGGCCACCAACCTGTTCATTACGAAGTTGCTGCAAAGGGAAAAGACGAAGAGTTGCGATTTTTTGACAACTGTCCTGTCTACGAGCAGGAAGTTGAGAGAAACCTCTCGGCTACAGCTCAGCACGACCTCTTTGCTACAAGCGATGCGCTGACACAGGCTCAGCGCCACCTGCAAGATGCACTCCACATCCCTTCGTTGACGTTAAAGGACCTCAGCGCTATCTATGATGCATGCGCGTAAGTATGTTTTAAAATGGTGGAGAGCAGCTCTTCACTGTTATAGGTTCGATGTCGCCGTGCATGGAATATTCGATCACTGGTGCACGCTGATGCCTCTGGACGTGCTTCAAGTCATGGAGTACTGGAAAGAGCTCAAGCAATATTACCGAAAAAGCCACGGTAACTCAATGTCCGTGGCGATTGCGTCGCCGCTTCTTCGCGATGTGGTTGAGGCCATGGTGAACTTTACAACCAGCCCCAACGAGTATGGAGTTCAAGGCCATTTTCGATTTGCCCATGCCGAGACCCTTCTGCCATTGCTGAGTCTCCTGGGGTTCCAAAGCAACGACCCCAAACTACTGGCAACAGCGACACCGCCATACGATCGGCACTTTCGATCCGCCGAACTCGCACCGTTTGGCGGTAATGTCGCTTTCGTTCTCTATCGCTGCACACACGATAGTGAGCCGTTGGTACAAGTCGTCGTAAACGAGCGGCAAGTGGCGACACCTGGTCTCGGCTGCGTTTTGTGTCCGCTATCCGAATGGATCCGCCACTTCGATCATTGGGCGATCCCAGCAACATTCAACCAAATCTGTTCAATACCATAACACCGCCCCACTTCGTCAATACACTGAACTCCACACAGTGGCTGTCCGCATATTGCCCTCGTTGTGCCATCTGCGTCTGAAAGACTGCATTGGCAGCACCATGCTTTACGCGTCGAACTCGCTGCCTTTGGTCATGTATATGCTCGAATCACCGAGAAAACCGACGTTGTTTCAGAATTACAAACATTCGCTGGATTGTCAATTGAGAAGGGAATGTTGATCTTCGTATCCGGATTACGTGCGTTCGGACGAAGCATGACATAGGCTCAGATCCGGATATTGTAACAGATTCAGCTCGAAGAACAATAGGCAACTCTGGCGCAACCCCGCCGCGGAGACGGCGCGATGATGGACCCTTTCGACTACATGGATGAGCACGACAAGTGCCTTCTCCTTACAGATGGATTCTCTCGGTTCATCCAAATGTTACTGGGAGTTTGTGCAATCGGCGTCCTCTTTATCAAACGGGAAATTGAGATTCCCAAGCGCGAGTTTAATGTACTTGATTCTCCAACTTGCGTGCGTGATCCGATGACTGCTGTAGGTGTGGACCTTTGATGTGAGCAAGCAAGGCCTCGGAGCGCTTTTCGTGCATATTGTTAACATCTTCTTGTCCATCTTGCTGACCCAACGATCAAAAGCAGACGACGATCAGGTAATACTTCCGATCTCCATATCTGCACTGCGCACTCATACTCTTCACAGTGCGCCGTGTACTTTGTGACGTTCCTCATCGACGTTTCCCTTGGTACCGTTGCTGTTCTAGGTACATATCATCATGGGGAACGAACTTTCGTGACAAGTACATGCTAGTCATCCTGGCGCAAATCAAGGCGTTTGCCAAATGGATCGGGTGGACTTCCATCGTCACATCAGGGGAGTACGGCAATCCCCCTCAGTTCGTGTGCGTGAATCCGTTAATTGTCCATAAGGCGCTTCTTACACTACTTGATGTAGTGTGTGGCTCAAGCAGTTCAGCGTGTACCTTGTGAGTTTGATTGCGATGAAGGTGGTCGTGACCATCCTTGTGTACATTTTGTATATCCCGCTGGCGACAGGGAGCACCTACATCTTTTCGATCTTCAGTCATCATCGGCATGCTGAGCTTGTGGTTGTCATGATTCTCGGGCCATGCGTGGTGAACATCATACAATTCTGGGTCCTCGACAACTACCTCAAGCATGCCGTGACCGGACCGCCCGCGTCTCCCACCTTTGCGCGTGTTCCCAGCATCGACGATCTCATCGACGAAAACCATCCTCATACACCTCTTTTGCTGTAACATTGGTGCAATTAAGTGGCGAGCGGACGTCAGCCATGTTGGCGCTGTTGCTTTTCACGCTGCATTTGCTGCCGTCGCTTCTGAATCAGTTCCTCGACAGATAGCCCCCCAGTCACGTACGATGACAGCGCAGGTTTCTTGCTTGTGTCGAGTTGCTGCGGCGATTGTTGTTGGGGAGGAAAGTCAGAATAGCCGACACGAGCACCAGACGGCTGCTTGTCGATGGTCGGAGGTGGCGTAGAGCCAGTGGCTTTGTCGGTGTTGGCGTTCCGAAGTGCCACGATTGACGCATTTACTAGCCGTTGTAGTGCATTGACTTCGCGGCACAGCCATTTGGCAGGTTCTCCGATTTGATCTACCCCGCCGACTGTTTCCAAGGTGGCATCACTCGCACGAGCGATTGCATCCACAAGCGCCTTGATCTTTTGCTCCATGATCGTTTGAACTGCTTTGCGTTCTTTCGTGAGAGTGTCGCAACGCCCTTGAAGATCTCCTACAATCCAGAGATTGTGAGTATTTTTCGGAGATCGAACAGCCCATCGTCCCGCACCGCAAAGTTTAGCCGCCGTTCCGTGCGCTACCTCGAGCTCGTTGATTCGGTTTTGGTATTTGGTCAATGCTGCTTGATCATGCTCACGTAAGCGAGCCTCCAACTCGGCTTGCACCAACTTTTCAAGGCGCTCGCGCATGACGTACTCGACGCTCACTTTATCCGCACGGACTTCGTCCAGTTCTTTCGTGACCCTTCCGAGTTCTTGGCCTTGGGTCGCTAATACTTCTTGTAGCTCTTGAATCTTTTCATCGGCAGACAACAAAAGTCCCTTTGGGGGAGTTTTCGTCAGCTGGTTGTTGTTGTACAACGGCTCGTGGGGCAGAAACTGTTTATGGCTTGTGAGAAGATGAGCAGGGAGCATGCCGTTTGGGTCGAGCGAAGGGTGGCTTTGTCGCTGCTGTTGAGTTTGCTTGAATCCCCAATCACCCAACGCACGGATCAACTCAGCGTTCTTGTTAGGGGACGTTGCATTGTGTTCCATGGTCACGCGCTGGAGATGAATCAACTGAGCAGTTTTCTCGTCGAGCTTTTCCTCGAGTGATTTTTGGTGGCGGTCGTAAGCGTCCAATTCGTCCTAAAGTCGAGTATGGCGGAGTCGACAACGTATATTTGCCGTCATGTGTACCTGAAGAGCCATAATTTGTTCGTCTCGTTCATTCAATCGCTGGGTGAGCGCAATCATAATATCTCGCTGTTTCAGCAGCAATTGCTTGTACCGGTCGACTTGTGCCTTTTCCTCTTCAATGGTTTCCCGCTCTTTTTCTAAGTCAGCGAGGCGACATTCGTATTCTTTTCGAATGCGGTCCTGTTGCTCCTTGAGAGCGATACGGAATTGTGGGTCCTCGGTCGAGAACTCATTTTCGCCACCGTCGCCATTGCCACCATTACTGCTGCCATCGTCGTTCGCCCCCTTTTGCTTTCCGTGGCTCATAAGCATCTGCGATGTGAGCATGATAATTCGCTGCTCGAGCTTTTTCTTCTCTTCCTTTTCCAGCATAAACTCCAAGCTTCTTTGCTCCAGAGCGCGAATGGCAGCCATCTTGTCTTCTTCCGCACGACGTCGCTGCTCATCGAGCTCTAACAACCGACGTTTATCCACGACGTTTCGATTTTTTTCCTCGAGTTCAGCCCGCAGCCGCTTCAATTCGCGCTCATACTTGCGCAAGAGCGACTTTTGATCCAAATCTTCATTCACACGGGCTTCATTCTTGATGTTTTTCGCACGATTGGCGAACTTCAAAGTTGACAAACTCTCCACGATTGCTTCAAGGGCAGGCGAGATCATTGCCATCATGGTAGTTTTGCAATTCCCGCCCAACGAGTCTTCCAAAATACGTGTGAGTTTCGAGTCGCGATAAGGAATGTGTTGCCGTCCCCGTGTGTCAGTGAGCGCAGCAATTACGTTCCCAAGTGCCGATAGCGACTGGTTAATCTTCTTGCTTTCTTCAAGGCGCTGCCCCGTTGCACCAGACAGTCGAACACGTTCTGACCCCGCTAGATCGACTAAGTTGAGCTTCCCGACCTTAAAACTTTGTCGGACAAGAGACTCCAGTTTCGATCGATCCCGGGCTTGCGTGTTGACGAGAGCAGTGAATTCTTCAGGAGGGATCTCCTTTCCAGCTGTGTCCACGTACGTCGTTTGGCTCTGCTCAGCGATGATGATAAACACAGCGTGGGACCTTGAAGAGATTTCGTTCATTTTGGTGCTTCCCGTTGCACGCATGGCTCCGCCGCGTTCCATGAGTCCGTAAATTTCTTCAGGGGACCGTACGACCCATTCGGACAAGCCCTCAACGAACACGCCCCGTTTCTTGTCTTCTCTAATCGTCAAATTGTTTCGTTCGGGCTTGAGCAAGTCGGAAATGGACTCGTTGTAGATCTGTAGATAGCTTGCACGTACAAGAAAGCGCATACGGGCACTCATATTGGCTTGGATATGCATGAAAATTTGCTCGATGGCTCGAGGAATGATACCGCGGTCTTCGAGGGAACCGCCACTGCTGTTGAAGCCCTCCATTGTGTACGTTTTTCCTGTGCCAGTTTGGCCATAAGCAAAAATGGTCGCATTGTATCCTTCGAGCGATGACTCGACGACAGCCTTGGCAGTGTTTTCGTACACAGCGCGCTGGGTGCTGTGCTGATCGTAAACGTGATCGAACGAAAACGAGTGGTTGGAGTACGACGACGACGAGCTGCCATTGCTTTGCTGATCTTCGCTGGAAGATGAATGGTGGCTACTGTCGGACACGGTCAAGTAATGGCCTGAGGAATCAACTGACACAACGTTTTGGAACGGTTTGTCGCCTTGAAGTTCGCGAGGCAGTGGCGGGCGGACGCGGATGACAACTTTAAAGTTTGACCCATACCTTCCGCTCACCGTACTCATGTGGCTAGTTATTGAGTCACGATCGTCATCATCATCGACGCTAGTCGACGCTCGTGAACGCCCCGATAACGAAGGCGATGCCGTTTCCTTTGTTGACGTTGACGCTTGACGCCGAACCTGAAGCTTGGACGATGACGAAAACGTAGTCTTCCTGGCTGCGGCAGCCTGAGCAACAGCTCCACGTGGGGAGTTGGTGTAGTCGATCCCGTTCTTCATCCGGCGCGGTGGTGTTTATCAACCCTGTGGCCGCGCCTGTCCAAGATCCCGCGCAATTTGGAATTGCTCTTTTTCGATCGTTATTTGTGGAAGCAACCGGTTAACTATTCAGATATCCGGATATGGTGGAGCACTGACACCTGGACGATATCAAATATGGAAAGGTTCCAAGAACTTGACAAGGAGCGCGCTGCGATTGATGCGGAAATCCAACTGATTGCAGAGGAGCTGACCTCAGGACCCAACCCAATCGGCCTGAAGGGACCTCTCGTGGACGAAGAAGGGTTTCCCCGGTCCGATATCGATGTATATACGGTGCGACACAAGCGACATCGCTTTGCATGTCTTCAGAATGACCTCAAGTGGAAGATGAAGGAAATTGAAGACGTCATGACAAGGTGTGCTTGCACTTTATGATGCGGTTGTCTAACCACCATCACAGCATTTACGCTGAGCAGAAGGCGCAGCAACCTCCCACGTTGAAGCAACGTACGACAAATGTCAACCCCACCTTAGTAGTTGTGCTGATCGAGCGTTTGCAGCAAATTCCACTGCCAAAGGGACCCTCTCCCACAGCACCGTCCATGCGATCGAAGCCAATAAAGGTACCGCTCTGCCAGTGAAGCTGCTAGGAAATTCAGGAGGTGCGGTTTTCACCCAGACTCTCATGTGTATTCAACATTTCTCAATGTGCATAGTGGACTCAGCTATACCATTCGCTCGTGTCGAATCCATCCAAGATGGTATGTGCTTATTTATTAATTTAGGTCGCTCTCTCATCGTTTACCTCTAGGTTCGCCATCCAGCGAAGCCGGCCTTCAAGTTGGCGACCTCATTCTCCAATTTGGAACAGCTAAGGCCGAAAATCATCGAGAATTGGCTGCCATCCGAGATATTGTTGGCCGCAACATCAACACGACGATTGAAGTCATTGTGCAGCGGCAGCCCACAGCGGATCTCTATCTTCTCTCCCTCGTTCCGCATTCCTGGAATGGGCCAGGTGTCTTGGGATGCCATATCGTGCCCCTCCATGTCTAATACATTCCCCTTGCTTCCTTCGCCTTCCTCAACCTGAATTGAACCCAGTGAAGCACTCGGCTCTGATTGGTGGGATTAACAAGAGCGTTTGTAAACTAGCCAATCAGGTTTGCTGAAGTGGCGCTGGAATAGAATTGTTCACAAGATGTTGCCGCCATCACAAGAAACCACGACCGCCGCAGCATCCGTGGCCATTGCAGTCACAGAGAAGTCCGCTCTCGTGGTCCATGTAGATGGCGCCAATGTAGAGTCGATTTCCATGTGGGAAGAAGTGACGTCCTTGGCAACCTTGGCTGCTCCGATCGTACGCCCAATCTCGTCAATTCTGCTGACCTTGTTGCATTTAGGTGTTCACACTGTTCATGGAATTCATTCCCAGCATCACGAACATTATCTTGGTTGGCCAAATGAGTACGCCAAACTTGAAGCAATTCGTGGACGCCACTGCGATGGCTGTCATGGTATACGAGACCGCATGTGGACTGCGCTGACGAATGTGCGTAGTACACCAATATTACATCGTATTCGGTGGGGCTAGGCATGGCGACGGCGCTGGACACGCTTTGCACACAGGCGTATGGCGCGGGGAATATCAAAAAGTTTGGTGTGTTGCTGCAAAGTGCTCTTCTCGGGATGGCTTTGGTATGCGTCGTCGCTAAAAGTATTTCGTCACGAGCTGAACGTGGGTTTTGTGGACTTAGACTTTGATTCCTGTGTCGTTGCTCAACTGGTTTAGCGCCGATATCCTGAAGATTTTGGGACAAGAGCCAGCCCTGGCAGACTTGACGGGAGGATTTGTTCGTGTCATGCTCGTGGGGTATCCTGCCCTGTATGCCTTTGAAGTTTTAAAGAAGCTTGTTCAAGCCGAGAGCGTGACGTTCCCGATGGCCGTCCTCACTGGTCTCGGCAACGTCCTGCACATTTCGCTGGGGTACTACCTGTCGCAGCACACGTCGCTGGGGTATCTCGGTCCTGCGGTGGCTCTGAGTTTGCTGGAAGTGGCCGTGTTCGGTGGTATGCTGGGGTACCTCTTGTGGTGGAATCCCATGCACGTGGCTTGGTGCGTCGAGTGGGGTTGGCCGGCAGCATGGTCTCATGTCTCGCAGGTCTTTCGATTCGGCGTGCCAGGCATGCTCATGATGCTCATCGAGTGGGGTGCCATTGAAATCCTGACGCTTGTCGCGGGAATACTGCCCAACCATATCCTCACCATCGGCGTCAACTCCGTAAGTGCCATGACCCCTCTCTTGCACACTCTATCCATAACATAAAATCAAGATCTTGTCCAGCACTCTCAACCTGTGGTACATGCCGTACTTTGGCCTGTCGGTGGCTGCCACCATTCGTATGGGGAATCTCCTGGGTGCCAACAAGCCTGAGAAAGCCAAACGCGTTATGTCCCTCACGCTTCGACTCAGCTTCGCCTTCGCGCTTGTCACCGCATCCCTCCTCCTCCTCCTCTCGCCAATTCTCCCGCGACTTGTCGTCAACGACGTCGATATTGTTGCGTACGTTCGTGTAATGCTGCATAATCGTTGGGATGACAAGTGAACTAGGAGAGGTTCGACGGCCTTGTGGTTCATTGCTCCATTACACATCATCGACGCCCTGAATGCCGCGTGTCAAGGTTGTTTCCGGGCCATGGGCAAGCAAGACGTGGCGAGTGGAGTGAACGCGGCGGCGTTCTACCTTGTCGGCGTCCCTGTCGCCGTCCTCTTTGGGTTGTACTTTAAATGGAGTGTGGAAGGTCTGTGGAGTGGGTTCACGTTGGGGTCGCTCTCGGCCAATTTCATTTACCAGTTCCTCCTCTCTCGTGTGGATTGGGCTGTAGTTGCCCAAGATGCAGTCGACCGGGAGTAGTTATCGTCACCTCGACCTCGGAAATTTACCACTATCATCTCGATCTTGTACTTCGTTTGGCGATTCCTGGCGCGAGGCACGGCTGTAATGGGCATGTACATTCAGGCAGCCTCATTTTGGAGTCGAGAATACCATGACGTGCAGTGCGCTGGGAAGTTGTTTTGGCTACGTGCCATCATTACGTGCTGATTTGTCGGGGCCCCGCAATTTATCACAGTCAGGCGCCTGGTTATTCCTTCACATTTACAAGTAGCGATGATCGCGAGATCGAGACCGCTTGGACCTCTTGGACTCTCGGTCACGAGAAGGAGATCGTTCGCTGCGTTTTCGTTCTTTCTTGAGCTTTTTCGCGACCTTCTTGGCTTCTTTTTTCAGCTTTTTTTGCTTCTTCTCTTCCTTACTTCGAGCGATGTCGTCGGCCGCACCATCATGTCCCTCTTGGATTCCTGGCAGGCCATACGTGAGATCTTGCTTGCCCAAGTTGTCTTGGTATCGCTCAGCCAGCGTGCGCTTCTTCGCGTTTGGATCTTCATACCCCGTAACGAAGTTTGCCGCACCAAGCCCTTCGACGCGCTCAGCGTCCCCGACGTTCCGTTCCGTCTCCCCTCGCTTGAGCAGGGCTTTCATTTCGTTCGAGTCGAGGGTGCCCGTTGGTTCGTGATGTCGCTTGGGCGCAATTCCTCTGCGTGAAGATACATTCAGGGATCTTGTTGCAATAGGATCACGTACAATGCTTCGTTCATGCGATCCTCATCGCGTTGCTTTGCCAAGGCAATTTCCTCAGCCAGGGCTGCGCTTTGACATGCCTTTCCTTTGGAATACCATGTCAAATCTTTTCCTACACTGCCACAGGTCATGCGACACCACTAACAGATTTCGACCAACCTTTGGCCCAACGACCGACAGGTGCGTTCAACGAATGGCCCAGGTAGTTTTCACGATATTTGTCGTTCTTCACGTCATCCCACTTGAACTCTACGTCATTTTCACAGGGAATCCACATTTTGGCATGGCTACTCACGGTCCTGCCCGCCACGGGTGCCGCCAAAGCGGTAGTTTGTCTTGCCGAAGCTCATGACGCAGGTGTATTCGGATTTGGGAGTATTCTTATCCGTAAATTCGGATAAAGTTGGATTTCGAGAATCGCGAAACGTCGTGTGGACGGCAAGACGGCGACGTGCACTCTTCAGGGAGAAGCACTAGCATGGCGCAAAGCTGCGCCAGTGTAGAGTGCTGCAATGCTCGAGGCAACTGTGCCCATGGCTGCTGCGCCCAATATTCGCGGTTGCATTCGACAGAACTGTACACCAGCGTTGGTCCTCATGACGACTCCATGGTGGCGCATCGTGGTGGGAAGGTTAGTTGAAGGTCTAGGCCCTAGAAGCAGGGCAGTTGACAGATAAAGCATTAGACGTTATCCCGCCATTTTTATGGCGCCATGGCCCTAGTGCTCTCCCGGGCGAGGATCCGTTGCTCTGTGGCTGTACTATACCCGAGTCAGCGGGCGTTGAGAGAGCTGCCGATGATAGTGCGATCTCTTCTTCCTGGTAATACACACGTCAGTTCAGTTGGCATGTCGGCTAAAGCAGTGCCGGTGACAATTGAAAGCCCAGCAACCGCACAAGCACGTTCAAACTCGAAGTAAGGTGAAGGGGCTATGTGGAGCACCTGACGGTACCAACAATTACAGTCTTTTGTGCGTTTTTAGCCCTAACGAAGCTAGAGTCTCCACTTTTAGCCAAAACTATCGTCCTCGCGCTACGCACATGTCAAGTCAACCTGTTTGACCAAACCTAGGATCGACCCCTTCTCGACGTTGAAGTCGATCAAAGTGGGATCATCCCCTAATCGACTGCTGGCAAAGATGCGGCATAGCTCCTCGGGGGGAGTCCCTTGCCTGATTTCGATTGAGTTCGACCGACACTCCGCCCGTGAGGAACTTGCCGATGAATTCGTCGAGGGTTTGGCGACCAACACTCTCCTCTTCTGGAATTCCCTGGAAGAGTCGTCAAAGTGCACGCCGGTGGCTGTTTGCTAGACAAATCATCCACGCATTGCTATGCTTTGGTATTGCAGACATGCCAAAAACTCTCGAGAGACATTGAGCTGTAGGAAAGCATTTGCAGGGGGTTTTACCGGCCATGCCGACTCGTTAGGTTGATGTTTGGTCGAGACAGAAATCATCAGAGGTTGTCGAGGACGATACATACAAACTTCCATATAGAATCTGTGACAACGTCGAATTGAAGAGTGCTGGTCCCCGCATCCGCAATCCATCCTCGAGTCTTACCTCATTTTCGATTTCGCCGACTTTCGACAACATCGCACCATGCAGATCTTTGTCAAGACCCTCACCGGCAAGACCATTACGCTCGACGTGGAGCCGTCCGACTCGATTGACAATGTCAAGCAGAAGATTCAGGACAAGGAAGGGATTCCTCCGGATCAGCAACGACTCATCTTTGCCGGCAAGCAGTTGGAGGATGGCCGCACGTTGAGCGACTACAATATCCAGAAGGAGTCGACCCTGCATTTGGTTCTTCGCCTCCGCGGTGGTTGCTAAACCGAATAACGTTAATACAACATTCCAAATACTCGTATGACTTTGTCGAAGTCCGCTACACAACTGATAGTGATTGTGCTCCAGTCTCAACGACCACTCGACGACCTTTCCATCGCAAGATGGCGCAAGCAATGGATACACTTAAAGTTTTCCTTCACAATAAAGTGCATCAGAGAGTAACTCGAGGATTCTATTGGCGCAATGCACAGGTTTCATGGCGTGGGACTGGGAAATTCGCTTGCAGGACGCGTCGAAAGCTGGCACAAGCACCCGAAGCACACGAAGCAGGTTGAGGAAGATAGTCTTGGCCCTCAAGCGCTCGCGTTTGGGTATGTTCAGCAAGTTATCTGCAAGTATATTGTCGCCCCATGCATTTTGAATGTCTTCCATTGTGAAAGCGACCGTGATAGTCAAGCCACATTCGTCGTTGTCAACGTCGCTAACGTTCGCCGCTTGGTGAAGGTAACAGTGCCCATCTTCATAGAGTTCTTGATCATCGTGTTGGGTTCTCCTTTTGCTGCATGGATGTTCCAACATTCCGGCGAAATCGATGCTTTCGAGGGAATTAATCAACTCATCGATGCTTTGGTTTGGCGTTCGCATTGAGTTGATCAAGAAGTCCAGGTCGTCCCACTGATTCATGAGCACATTCAACGGTGACTTGATCCCTTCCAGCATACCTGCTGATTCATTGAGTGTGTCTTCGTCTTTGGCAGCTTCGCTCAAGCATGATGCCTTCAAGTGGACGCCGCTCTCGTTAGCATGCATCCGTTCCACCTTCGCTTTGGCGAGAGAAATGGCATTCCCTGACATCCAGAAGGGCCAATCAGGTGATGCCATGCACCTTAGCTCCACCAATCAAAAGTCGCTCAGTGGAACGGACCAATCAGAATCCATTGGAACATTGCGATGTGACCGTTGCATATTTATTTTATTGCCAAACGCGCGTGGTCGATCTTATCGTTGCGACGGCGCGGGAACGACCAGCATATGCCCCCCAGCGAGTCCATTCTTCATGGAGTACCAAAATCGCGAAGAAGACGTGCAGAAGATGATCTAGAGTTCGATGCAAAGGATGATGCACCAGAAAGTTGTGCTTGGAAGTCTCTTTGTGTGCGCGAGTCTTCGCCAGTTCAAATCAGAGATTTTGAACTGGATGGCAAACACATCGGAGGAGATGATGTTACTCTATAACTTAAGTGATTTGAGTCAAATACTGTCCGAGGAGTTCCGCGACGGCAAATGCAGACATGCGTGCGTCCGGGTCATTTTCGTTGAGCAAACTGCGGAAAATCTCATAGACCACGGGGGGAAATGCGATTTCGCGCACGCAAATGTAGCATTCGTTGCCTGCATGAGGGATGTCGTTGGCGTGGGCAAGGAGATTACGTCGCCAGTTGACGTCACGCACAAGAGCATATTCGCCGGCCGGGTAACCGAAGCACACGAGTTGATACAACATGGTCCCGGCAGACCACATATCGGCAGCAGTCCCATTGAACGGCGTTCGTGGCGGTTGCGACTGGTTGTGGCGACGGACCTCTGGTGGCGCATACAACGGTTTGCATTTCACCAAGGATGTGCCACCACCAGCGAAGCCTGGGCCCTTCGTCGTTCGTAAGTACTCGCCGCTGCCAAAGTCAAGGATACGAGGAGTTCGGTTGTCGTCGATCACAATATTGTTCGGGTCCAAGTCGAGATGTGCAACGTCCTGAGCATGGATGTACGCGAGCCCTTTCATGATCCCGTGGAACAGGTGGAGCGATTCGTGGGTCCACAGCTGGGCTAGCCTAGCTTCTTGCAGCTCGGGATGGTGAGCCAGTTCGATGCTGACGTGAAAACGCAGCTCTTGGAGACGGTGGTGCGAGTACAACACGAGACTCCCATTCGACACGTAGTCTGTAGCAATGTACTCGTTCGCGACATCGCTGGATGCTTCCCACTGCAGAATGTGAGGGTTATGCAGAACACCCGTAAACCCTCCTGGTTGCAACACGCGCATGACACTGAGCTCATTCTCGATGTCGTCTCGTTGAAGCTGCAGCTGGTGTCGGTCCATCATCTTGACGGCCACCATGTATCTAGCATTGTCGGCTTCGTCGCCATCGGTGTCATTGCGGGTGAAGAATATTCCACCTCGCACGACACCGCAGCGGCAAAAGTTGAGTATCGACCGCGCAACGTCTTGGGTCGGGAACGCGATGACATCTCGCCGGTCCGTTCTCCAGTTCAAGAAACCATGGGGAATGTGCATCGTGTAGGCGGGGTATCGCTCGGGCTGGCCCTTGTGCGGTATCGGCAAGTACTGCGGGACGCCTTGCTGCTGGTCGAAGAGAATTGTCGCCTCTTGAACGCACTCTTCCATTGCGACCACAATTCTGAGGTTGGTGAATGACTACCTCTTTCGTTTCGTGTACCCATCAAACTCATTCAAGTGACCGCTCCAACCTGGCCTTTCTGTCCGCATAATCCAATACAAACCAATCCAATAACACAAATTACGCAATTTCCTGTCACGTGAATATATTAAATATTGTTGATCGCAAGTGGTGCAAGTCAACAGTAATTGCTGATGTACCACCGAAAAAGGAAATAGTGTATTGGTCCCCTTATGTTAATCCCGTGACTTTTGCACATATAAAAATAATGAATGAAATAAAAAAAATATCCTTCAAGTACAAGTGTACGGTTTGTTACAACAGAACATACAAAACAAGTACTACTACACCTTTTCACCCGCAAGTTGGTGGTTTTTTCCAACCAAAGTGGTTTGTATTAAAAATATAAAATATTACAAGTCAGGGATAGATGATTGGTTCCATTCAAAGTGGTTTTTATTCCAATCAATGTGGTTCAATTTCGTGGGAAACTTGCGCGCGCAGAGTTCCTTGCTTCTCTCTCATGAATTGACAGGGAATACGACATTGTGCAATCTGTTCCCGAAGTGAGATGGCTGAGGTCAGCAAACAAAGCCCAAGCGTTATGGCCCAACTGTGGAGGAGAAACGCCACCTTCTCCTCGCGTACCAAGAGGGGGCTGTTAGTGGCGAAACACAACGGAATTCCCGTGACAACTGCCCGCCGCATCGTTTCGTCTGGACGTGTCGAACACAAACCTCGTGGCGGCGCGCGCCCTCAGACAAACAAGGTCACCCCTGACATGCGAGAGACCATGGAACGTTACCTCGACAAGAACTGTCAATACACACTCGCTGCGATTCAACATTTGATCAAGATTGACTTCAATGGAGTCCACATTTCCCTTCAAACCGTAAGCCGACACGTCTTGGGCATGCTGTACTCTGTGAAATTGGTTCGCGTCGAGCCATCCACATGCACTAGTGACCTGAA